AAAATAATAAAAAAGTTTAATTTTGAATTTCTCAGTTGCTACATACAGCAGCTGTATTTCATACTGAAAAGACGTAAGACAGACTTACTCAAAACATCATCTACGTTTGTCAATTTAAGACCTATAGCTGCGCATGCTCAAAAAGAATCCTAAAATGCTTTTTTTGATGTTTTTCCGTGTAAAACTTTTGATTACCTTATTACTTATTAATTACTTATTATGCTTTAAAATATGACTTTCTAAAACGTTTTTTCCCACTGACAGTAACAGCAAATATTTAAATTTACTTTCCTTGAAGTAATTTGAAAATGTATCTCAAATTCAACAAGGTAGTATAAATAATAGGTAAAACCATAGATTAAAAAGACACACATTATTTTTACAGGGTATGTGTTACATAACACTGAATTCCATCAGAAGAATCCATAGAAAGAAAAAAAAAAATCACATTTACTAAAATGAAACACTTCTATATTTGATAAGCAACATCATTAATTTATATAGGTTAGAGCAATATGGTTGTCAATGATTGTGATTTATTTGTACCTAAAACAGAGAATGGGAGCTATTTTGTTGCTGTTCACTATAAGTAACATTATTATTTTGTATCTGAGTAACTGATGATACATATTATTGTGTAAAAGCTTGCATTTTCAAAAATGCTTTGTAAAATTGTCCATATATTTTGTATAAGCTCAGTTCAATGACTGAGAATGTGTATGAATGTAGGCAAGGCACTAATGAATATAGGAGCCTGGCTATATGCTCTAACTTTAGGCAATGTGTTTCTGACAGGTTAGCAACAAAAAATATGGGAATTTTGGAAGACTTTGGATCAGAACAACACAAATTGCTGTAATACGTATTTATTTTATGGAACGCAGGAACAGTAAGGAAACGGGATTTATCTGAGCTGGTTTGTGTTTGCCACCAACATCAATGGGAACAGGATGAAGCTTAGGATTTCCTACTGTTAAAACTGACCTGGCAAGATGATATTCTCTATTTCTATAGTCCTGAAGAGTCAGGGGTTCTCTAGGAAGAGCTAGAAAAAAATATCCAAAGATATCGAAAACCTGGGAAAGAAGGTGGGGAGAGGAGTGGCAGGGGTGAGGACTAGGCATATGCTAAGCCTCTTTCAGCCCTCACAGGGTTTAGACCCTGAAATGCAGGCACGAATGCCATGCTCTGTCCATCTCCTCTGGAGGAACTGATTCCTTTGACAGTGTCATCCTCTTCCTTGCTGCTTCATTTCAGAGAAGAAATAACTTCCAAAGAGAGTTACCAGTCAGTTGTCAGATAAGGTTTAAGTGAAACCAATGGGCAGACAGACATTGATGTCATCAGTCAGCTTTCTATGGCTTTTAAAGACTCTTATCATTGTTTTTCCAAAATATTTTCCTTTCACTTTGGCAAAACTAACATATAAATACCATAAATATTAGTGCATGGATAATTAAATAATGAAGTAATATAATATAATGAAAGTATATGTACAGAGGGGAAATAAATTTAAAGTTATGATGGGTATTCTGTGCATGTATGCATGGTTCTTTCAATGATGATAGGGGGTGTTCCCATGTGATGAAAATAGCTGAATTAACATCAAATTTCCTTGCTTTTGTGCTCATATATGTGTGACAACAGCCACTTCACAAAAACCATAGCAAAATAACAAATCAATCAACCATATTTTCTTTAGTCTCTTATTTTTATAATGCTTATAAAATGCTGCTCTTCATATGTAATTATCTTCAGCTCATAAAAATAGGAAAAAATGTTGATTTTCTGATTTGCAATTAATATTTGACATCAGTTCAAAAGATCAATATTCTTTGTCCACAGTGAGAGCAAACTATAAAAAGAAGGGGTTTCTGCTTTTGGCGATAGTGTAGGTAGCATAACAGACTTCGGTTTCTTTGTGCCTCGCTTTGGCAAGTTATAAGACGGGAAACTAGGTGATGATCATGTTTTAATTCATCATTGACTGAAAACCAATTCTTTTTTTCTTCACAAAAAGTAGGTTCAATTACTTTCTTAAAATTCATTTAGTCATAGATTTTCCTAACTTACTGGTGTACATAGGAAAAAAATTCCTAACTTACTAATGCATGTAAAATTAAGAAACTTGTTATTGACTGCATCAAAGAATTATGAGAAAAACGGTTTTGAGAACATTCAATATTAACTACTATCTAAAGAGCTGCTAATCTTCTGTCAAGTATTCTTTTGTGGATGTTGAATGATAATTTATTTTGTTCCACGTTCTCCTTAGCATTGCTTTCACAGTAACTATTGAAGTGTTTTAATACACAGATAATGTATTTGATAATTCCTCATATATTGTATGTGTTTATGATGCCAAAGAAGGTCTCTTTAGGCTTTTTCTCCACCCCACTTTTCTTTGAAGTCGGATGCTTTTTTGAGCTAATACATCCCTAGGCTTTTGCCCTGCTGTATTTTGATTACAAGAGAAGAGCTTTAGATGAACTATTCGCCACAGCTGGGAGTTTTAAGGTGTAAGAACTTCTGTTTACAGACTGTCCAGTTTGAGTCTGATTGTCAGTTATTAAAGCATAAATATCCAGTGTATATACTGAACCTGTGTTCATTTTGTAGGGAATAATTTTGCAATACTGTAGCAATGCAAGACCTCCTAGGAGGGGATTTCTGCTCTGGCCCAAGGGAAGAGAGGTGCCTGCAGCAGAGTCCCGCTCATGTCTCCTGTGTTCTTTAGTTTGGTATTCAAGTTCTAATTTTGAGCATGTCTTACTGTACCTTGTGGGAGCTGACAGTGATTAGTCTGTCTGTTCTGTCTCATTTCTCTGAGTCATCAGAACTTACTCTCTCTCCTTTGTCTCCCAACCTGAGTGTCCTGAGGAGTTTCACATAGGCGCATTTATATACTCATAAGTTTCAGGTTTTAAAAAAAAATTCAGTATACTTTCAGTAGAAAAATATTTCTTTAAACCAGAGTCAGGAAGTAAAACAATACATTAGAGTGCCTGGGTTAAAGGAGAAAATTAGGGAAGAAAAGCACTAGGTTTTTGTTGGGCTTTTGTTATTGGTTTGGACTTCTGTTTGTTTGTTTTGTTGTGTGGTTTGGGTTTTTTAAGGACTAATGTGTCATGAATAATACATGAACTCATGGATCCCGTGCATTTTGAAAAAACAACCAACAGGCAAATCCTGACAACTGTAAACCCAAGCAAGCAAGCAAAACCAAGTAAATTAATATTCTGGTGGTTTAGGTATTTATTCCAGTATTTAAATTACAACTTTCTATACCACTTTTTTTTTCCTGCTTTGTTCTCCTGTAAGCTGGTACAAATCAAAGGAAGAAGGTAGAATCCAATAAAGAAGAAAATAACTAATGAAGTATTATGCAAAAGTATAAAAAAGGTTATAGAATATTGATAGATGAAGCCTTTCCTTCCAATAGATAAGGACAGCCTGCCTTTGCCATATAAACAATATCTGTCTATTATGGAGGACCTATCATTTCAAGGACTCAATTTTTACTACTTTGTGAAGTAGTAAAATTTCTTTTAATTGGAAAGATTCGAGTGACTTTCCTATCTGGAAGTTGCCTTCTGAAGAAAAGAACACCTATAGACTTCTGAGCAGATTAAAAAAAAAAAAAATTACTGCATTTTTTGCTGCTTTGCACCCAAGAAAATATTTCAGACCTGTTCTTCCAAGAAATTAAATTGCAGGGAGAGGTGAGGTACCCAGCACTATGTAGAATTACACTCACTGCAGAACACAATGTATCATGCAAATAATCCTGTATGCATCCAGTATCACTTTCGGAAAACTGCTGCTTAGATTTATGAGCTAATTAATCATTCAAACACCCACAATGAAAAGAGACCAGTATACAACATCAGTGTTCCATAGGCAATAAAATACAGATTCAGTAGTAAAGAATTCTTAAAAAACTTAACATATCATTTTATTGCTGTAGATAGTGAAAAATGTCAGTATGAAAAATTATTTTTTCCTATTAGCTTCAGATTATTTTCTTTAAACTGCAGCACTTGATTCTGAAGTATGAAGTGAAGGGAAAATATGGCTTGCCAATGACTGTTTAACACTGTATTAGAAGCTAAAGAAAACAGACTGTAATTTAGGACTCGTAATCTTGGTTGTAATATTAATGATTGAAACCTGTGTTACAGAATGAAAAAAATTGCTTCTACAAAGGATACAGTCAGCTTCAAATGTAGAAAAAACCCCTGCTGGTACTCAATATGCCTCTGGTATCCAGTTTCCAGGGTTTAGGTTTTTGGTTTATTTTCTTGGTTTTTGTGGGATGGGGTGGTTGGGTTTTTTGTTGGGGTTTTTTTGGTAGATTAGCAGTCACGTTTTTCTATTTTGAAACAAAAAATCTTTGCTGTTTCGTGGAGCCCATAATAGATTGTGAAACTTGTTACATGGGACTGTGAAATAAGTGCTGTAAAATACAGAAAGATAAGAAAAAAGAGAAACATTGTTTATTAAACATTGGGTTTATATATATGTAATTTATTTTAAAATATAATTGGTTAAAATTTGAGATAAAATATCACGCCAAGTAAAAGGAATAAATTTACTATCCCTTTAAAGGATATGATTGGTTTTCACTAATCTTAAGTTTGTATGAATCTAGACTAACTGACCTAAAGTCAGTTAAGATACACTTGCGAAAAAAGTAGTTCAAAATCAAATTATAACCTCACTATAATTATCAGAGTAATACTGGAAGAACAGAATAGTTATTAGCCTTTGAGACAGCTCTACATAAAGTTCACGACTACTATAAAGATGAATGTGTAAAATTATTTTTATAAATAAATCATACTTATATCAACATGATATTTGCTATTTTAAGTTCTTTTTAAGATAATTTGTCTCTTAAAGTTTAATCTGTTGCGCAGATCTGTAGTTTATCTATCAAATTTCTGACATTTCTATACTTGCCAAGCCAAAATAAGTTTTCAATTGTGCTTTATTTGCAGCATCTGGCGAGGACCAAATATAAACTGCACAGACAGTTCAGGTTATACTGCTTTACATCATGCAGCTTTAAATGGACACAAGTAAGTACCTCGTGTTTAGTTTTTATGTAGAATGGTATTTAACTGTATAAAGTAAAAAAACCCAAAACCAGCACTGAGATTTTCACTGAAAATTGACAACCTCTGGCTCCCTAAAATAATCTTGTTTCCCATGGGATATATTAATATAAGAATTTTTGACACTGTCATTGATTATCAGCATGTAGTAATGACAAATGGGAAATGCAGTTTAGAAGCTATTGATTTTATAACGATTTTAAAAAATTCTTCCTCAATTTTGAGTAAATTTATTATTGTTAGTGATGGCTCTAGTGCCCTTTAGCTGGTGGAAAATTGCAACAAAATTTTGTAGAATACTTGTGTACGTACATATAGTGCACATGTATAGTGCATTGAGTGTTTAAGGAAGCAATATTGTGAAACAAAAGAACAGTGCAGATCAATCATTATCAAAGAAAAAGTAGCATAAGAATGTTTAGTAGTTACACATATGAAAGCAGAAGAAAATGGCTATTGCCTTGTATGAAACCTCATAGCTTTTCACTCTCTGCTGTCCATCCAAGTTAGCACATGCATGTCTCAACAAGCTTGGGGAACTGCACAGGCATACCAGTGCAGGTGAACTTTCTAAGGCATTGACATGTCAGAAAAAAAGTGGAAACTTGCTACATATTTTGTTATTACACCTTGTAATTTGTTCTGCTACCTCTATTGTTACATGTTGCCCCTTGCTACATTTTACCTCCATTGTATTATGCTGCCAAATGCATGTGGTTATTAAGGTAGAACAAGAAAGAAAAGACTTTAATGAGATCTATCAAATTCTAGTGGGGTGGATGCCACTGTAATCATGTAAGAGCTGTCCCACTTAATGCAGTCCATCTATCCTGTTCGTTAGCTGACAGTGTTAACGCTGACAGGATTTTCACTAAAGACAGTTTTGATGTAAGGCTTTGGGTTATTCTTCTGTGAGAGATAAGAAACTAATCAAAACCCAAGTGAAATTAAGAGTGATTTTCACTAACTTTAATGTGCTTTTGGACTGTGTGTAAGATAACATCTGAATCCATAATAATTACATAGTTTACTCCTGTCACAACTTTTGCATTCTTCCTTGGAAAAATTAAGACTTTAGGATATATCTTTAATTGTATTCTAGAAACCTGCATATTTTGTTTAGACCAGATTAATCTTTTGGTGAATATAGGATATTCTGTTTCTTAATAAATAAATGAAGTTAAAATACTGTTAAACAAGATATTGTGCATTTTCCAAAATTTCAGTTCTGTAGCAAAACTCAGAATCATCCATTAATATATTTTACCTCTATGGAATTAGGTCTAAGTCCTTCATATGGCCTGTTAAACTGGCCTTTTTCTGAAAAGTGAGAAAAATGTATTTGTCTTTTTTTATGGCTTATGGATTGTTTCTTATGTCATTGCTCATTTTTTGATTGACAAAAGCCCAAGCCTTAGCTTGCAGAGATTGCTGGTTTTAAGTAGATGAAAACAGGTTTTAGTATGTTCAATACTGATTATAAACCAATAGTTACCCAGCAAAGTAAAAATATTGCTGCATAAACACTGAATCCACCAGATATTTTAAATGAATCCTAACAGTATAAACTATAAAATCCCAAAACATACAAAAGCCAAATAGTGTTTTCAGACACAATGTTGGCCAACCTTCTGCTGAAGTCAGAGAACTTAAAGATGTGGACTTATGTATAGCAGCAGATACAGCTGCAGCTTTTGGAAAAGTTATAATGGCCACTGGCTGCTATGATCCCTTATCCTCACAGGATAAGTAGTAGGTACTGACAGCGTATTTATAGCTTGTTATGTTAAAGTAAACTGAAACACATCATGAAGTATTTAATGATAAATCATGATGGTTCAGGACCTGCTATCCAAGCCATCATACTGATCCTGCTGCAATGGTACACTGTCAGCAAGAGAACTGGACAGACACCTGGTGGTTTAATTTTGTTAGTCACCACAAGTAACAAATAAATAGCTTTACACTCTGTTTCAGGTTTGAAACTTGATATGCAAAACTGATCTTTGGTACAATCTCTTGACAGAGGTGTCTTCCCACTTAGGGCAAGTTCTCGTCCTTTGAAAACTTTTTGGGTTTCAATTTTTCACACTTTACATTAGGATGAACTTGAGAAATTTCAAATTTTTTTCAGGAAAAGTGAGAACATGAGACTTAATGACCCAACCAATAATTTGTGGCTGGGATACCTGTTGTACATCAGTGTTCAAGTCCCTGTTTGATTATTGTGTATGATGAATTCCCTCTTCCTTGGTTGTTCTGGGATAGTTCTCTCTCCTTTTGAAACTATTCTGCTTTATATAAGCAATTAAATTATATCTGGGGCAGGCACTATAATCTCACTCTCCCTAAGTAATTTTACTTAGCCCAGTAATGTTACTGGGCTAAGGACTCTCAGTCTTCTCCTCTCTGAAATTTATTTCTACAAAATGAAAAAGTTCTGACAGAGTGCTAAAAAAGACTCACCCTAGAGAAGTGTGATGGGTCAGGGCATTCTTGAAGGATAGAGACCTAGGTTCTATTCGGTAGCTTGAATCTTGCATCAGACTCTTCCCGATAGCTGTTGTGTTTTGTTATCTATAGATTTCAGTTGTGGATGGCTTTTTTTTTCCTGTTTTCCCCTCACTTACTTCACTTTCTCTTTCCTTTGATTTGTGTCCCTTTCAGACTGCTCTGTATCTCTAGCCTTCATTAGAACATCTACTGCAAGACCAAATATTATTACAAGAGAAGTCTCTCAAACCTTATTTGTAATAAAAACTTTCTCTCAGGAGTCACTTTTCTGTGTAGCATAAGTCTTTCTGTAGTGGAGCTGCTCTTTCTTGGTGTTTTTTTTTTTTTTTAAATGTTGTTTGACCTTGTCAGTAGCAAGTGAAATCCAGCTTAAAGTCTCCCTCAAAGCTTAGATGTGATGACTCCAGTATCTCTATGACTTCTTTTGAAGACATTTGGAAGTTTCTTTTGACCTGGATATATTCATTCTTACTTGTCACATTTTTCTCTCAATAAGCAATTAAATAAGGTTCCATCAAGGTTGGGAGAACAACTGCATTGGGATTTACCTTCTGTCTTAATTGGTAGTTAGTAAAGGGCTTCGTTTTTAGTCATAACATAGGCTATGTTGAGTTCCTTTCCACCCCTGATTTTTTTGAGCCAAATCAGTAAGAACCAGTGTTTCCATATTCAGCAGAAATGTGCATAGAGCTGCCCCCACTGGACCATAGATGCTATTAACTTAATAACTAATGAGGCCTGACTGTGTCAAACTATGAGAAGACATATGGAGAGATAAGACAGAATTTATTTACTTTCTGACATACTTTGTAACGTGATCATACCACACAGTTGATTTTTACATTTAACATTTGAAGTTAGGTACAGAAGACTGCTTGAAAATCAGGGAGCAATATACCAGTTTATGCTAATCGTTCATTTAATGTGTGATAAGCCGCACTGAAAATACTGGAAGGAATATAATGAGAATTAAAATAATAAAAGTCAGTCTTTTCCTCACTGCTCACAGGAAGCTGTGATGTGGGAAATGAAAACAGAAGCAGTTATTCCATAGAAGATAGTATATATCTAACTAGATCATCATTAAATTGTTTCCTCCATCTTTGAGATAATGCCTTAAAAAACCCCCAACAACACTGTTACTTAAGCCTCACTGCAAGAACTGTGTTTATAAAGCTACCCTCTTGTCTTCCTGCCTGCACAACTCAGCAATGACGGAGATAGGAGTACCTCTCTGCCTTTAGTGCCTCAAAGGTTTGTCTTGAGGGGCATGCACGTGGTCTGGGCTGGCAAATTCTAAACATTATTCCGTGGCCAGGTGATCCTGTTGAAAGAAACGGTCAGAGAACTCATAATATTGTTGATGGGTATTCATAAGAAGTAAGAATCGTTACAATTAATACTATTTTGGCTATGTTTTACTATCTATTTCATTCTTAGAAATGATTGGTCTTCATTTTTGTATCTGTTTCCCTTGAAATACAGGGTTTTTTCTGTTATTCAGGGTAAAAATTTTGGTAATATGTATGTTCATGTAAAAACTTAACAAATTAAACTTCGTGTCAATTTTTAGATTTACTTCCTATTTTCCAGGGATATAGTTCTCAAATTACTTCAGTATGAAGCATCAACTAATGTGGCAGATAATAAAGGTTATTTTCCTATTCACTTGGCTGCTTGGAGAGGAGATGTAGACATTGTGAAGATTCTCATCCATCATGGGCCATCACACTCCAGAGTGAATGAACAGGTGAAGTGATAAAAAATATTTGTGTACATAATCAGAAAAGAGCAGCACATATTCTTTAGGTCTGACAAATTTATAGCCAAGTTAAAAAATAAGAATAATCTTATTTTTTCCATTGTTTCAGTAATTTCTTCTCCAAGACTGATAAAATCTTCCAGTATAAGCATACCAGATAGCTTTCTTCTGGATGGGCACTGACCTAAAGGATATTAGATTTTAAAAGTATGAGAAAACCTTCTGCTTGTTTCTGAAAAGTTGTATGAAGGCATGCTTTGCATCTTATATATATTGATGTAAATTTGCATAAACTCTGTGTCTTTATTACTTTTAGACATTAAATTCCTGAAAAACTTTGAGATAAAAATTAATATTCTTGGTATATTTTGAGTGTACTGTAAAGGAACTGATATGCAGAGATAAATGACAAACCAGATGGAGTGCACGTATGCATGTGCAGCAGAAAGGACACACAAATACTAGGAAAAAATGATGAGAGTATTACAGTGGGTAAGGGCAGGATAAGTATGTTGCATTCTGTTGTCAAACATATGGCACACTTTCTGCTTTCATTCTGTATATTCTTATATGTATATTCTTACAGGGTTAGTATTTAGACGTAGAAAGAAAAAAGGCGATTAAAATCTGACACCATCTATAGTCAGCTGAACTGCTTGAGGATTGGCAGTAGGCTGTGAAATATGAGTAGTAACCATAAGCTATTGAATTTGCCAGGGTAAAATCAGTGAGTTAGTGGAATGTAAAGGTGGGAGTCAGCTCCAGATTCAGATCTAAGTTTTAGTGTCAACATTGCTTGTATATGCACTGGTTTATTCCACAGAGTTCTAGTCGTGAAATCACAGGAGCCAACAGGCTTATTCAGGTGACCACAAATAAAGCAGGATTCATTTGCTCAAATACAGAAATCCCGTGCCTTCTAAGGCCCTCCAGTAACCGAGACATCTGTGTGGGCCTTGGGGTATGACAGAGGATGCTCAGAATTTCCGAGTCCATGTGGAGTGGCTGATGGACTCCAGGTAGGGTATCCTACAGCATCTCAAATGGCAAAGTACAATCTAACAAATGAATTACATTCTCATTGTCCACATTAGCGTGGCTGGAAGGCAAACTGAGAAAATAAGAAATTTAGACCTAAATTGCAAACAGGTAACCAGTGTGAGATGCCATTCCTTGAATAATCTGTTTGATATTTGAGGTTATACACTTAGCCATTGGAATCCATACAATAACTATGATATGAATATAAAGTATTAATGCAGGAAATACAGGAAAATAAAGTAATAAAAGGCGCCCATGTGAGAGTCTTCTGTGAAATCCTGTTGTAATCTGACTCATTCAAGAAAAAATACAAAACCAAAACAAAACAAACCCCAAAAAACCACAAAATTTGTCGTTTTGTGGTTTGAGTTGCAATGAATTTCTCATTCTCATCAGCTGTTGCACATAGGATGAAACCAGTTGAACTGTAGGATTACCTTTTGTAAAGGAGAGGGTTTTTTTTCAGTTTTATTTCTGCAACAAAATAAAAAAAGCAACTTTCTGATTGCATGTTTGCTTGAAGAGATTTCTTATACTCTACTGGCAGAAAACTGGAAGCTATGTAGGAACTTCAGAGGGATAGTGAAAAAGATACTTCAGTAAGTTCAGAAAGAGAAATGTAGATTCAAACCTACATCTCCCCAACCCCACATATACATCCAAACTTCTAGAATATTCTCAAGCTTGATTAGGTGTGCTGTCCAGTCTGTGGTTTGATTACTGGAGCAAATAAGCAGGGATACATCTGATTCTATACCCCACTGACTTAAGGTCTTGTTGTCAGATCTCCTGCTGTTTATGCATTTTATCCGAAAACTTCATAATGGAAAATGTGTGAGGAATCCTCACAAGAAATGTCAGACCTATAGTCTTTTAGGGGAATCTTGATCTTATTAAACTTTGAAGTTAAACTCAAGCATACACAGTTCTTCTGACCTTGTAAATCCCTTGGTGTTCTACTCTGGACAATGGCATCTTTAGAACATGGACCACTTTGCTGGCCCTGACTTTCCCTTGCTAATTATTACTCTATGCAGGAGAATATTATCCATAGCATGGAATGAGGAAAATGCTATGTTGATATAAAGCCATCTCCACTCACATATCCTCAAATAACACCAGAGTGGCATGCTCACCCTAATACCTATTGTATATTCTTATGAATCTGTAAGTTTCTGATGCTTTTGCTTATTTGTTGATAGACTCTATAAGGCAGGTGACACCTCATAGCTTTGATCAGATCTGTGGAGCTGAAGCTACGGCTTATAAGAAATTCTGGGCTATTTTCTTTTTTTTTTTTTTGTCTTAGAGTTGTGGAGAAGGATAGCCGTTTTTCTGACACTTTTTCACCACAGCAAATATACTCAAGTCAGACTTTTTTCCCTGTTTTTTAAATTTGTTTTTATAAAGATCATGTTAAGAATGTATGTTTCAGTTTAAGAAAATAATTTTGTTCATTATTTTAAAAATTGTTGCAACTAATTTGTAAAACATCTTTGCTTTTCATCTATTTTATTAAAATTCTATGTAAAAGAAATGCTTCTAAAAACTTAAGTGAAAATAATGAACAACACAGCAAACAAGTAAATGAGATCCATAAATTGTGATCCATAAATGTGTATTACGTGAATTAGTGGATTTAATATGGTATAGTGTAAAGTAATTGCACTGCATTCTACACATTTAAAATGCAGTTAACTAGCATCATAGGATCGTATCCAGCCATATTCAGCATCTAAAGCTCTGAATGCCCCCTGCTGTTCCTATTACATAAAATTGAAAAAAAACACTGAAGAGGCAAACAGTTAAATGACAATTATTTTATGGGTGTGGTGGAATGTAGACTGGCGACTCTACACAGAAAATGGTTACAGCAAAACAATTATTTAAGAATAATTCTACCACTGTTTAATACAGGAGTCTTACTTGACGTGCCTGATGTATGTTTTAACTTACAAAATATGGTGAAATTACAAAATAGACATGTAACTGTTTAAATTTCATTGATGAAGACTTGAAAATATGTAAATTATAAATTGAATGAAGATCGAGTAGGTATTATGAGATCAAAATTTGTTAGCAAATTAATATCAAATATAATAAGGTGCTGTTAACAGTCAAAATACATCTTTGTTTACGTAGACAACTGCGTAACACAAATGTTTATTGTGGCAAATTTCATCATAAAATTACACAATTGATAAGAAATCCTAATATATGAAAAAATAAATAATAGCCACATGTAGGTCAATATGTAGTGTTTGGTTTTAGTGCAGGAAATCACATACAAAAAAGGTGAATGACATCAGGAATAAATGTCAAGTTCGAAATATATTTTTTTGTATATATAGAATATGAATAGTGAAAAATTTACAGGAAAAAATGAGAACACTTCTGCAATTTCTTGGTGATGTTCTCTGGTTTATGATTCTGCCTGGTTTTCTTTATGCATATAGCATGACTTCTTCTTTGCATTTATGTATTTAATGTACTCTAGAATTTGCCTGTGCATCAAATTGAAATTGTCATAAAAACTACTCTCATTTCATTAATGCCATTTGACACTCCTTCTGAAATGTGAAGGAGAAGACTTCAGGATGCATTCATAATATGTAAATACCTAACATCTAACATATTTATTGACTTCCCCAAATCATCAAAATGAAGCACAGACATTATATGCTTCTCTCAGTGACAACTCAGGGACTTCAAAAAGTACAATCCAGTTCTAAAGTAGCCTACAAAACCAGTAATTTTCAAGTTCTGCATTTGATGTTCCCCTCCCCCGCCCTCCTCAAAATGGAGATGATGTGAATGAATTTCAGAATTTCCCTTGCAACTCTTACTATACTCTTTTTAGATAAAGAAAATGTGCAGAAGCAATCTTTTTGATTTGAGCCAATTACAGCAGTAAATTTGAAGAAAACATTTATTCAAAGTGGTCAACCAAATTACAGAATTACTTTTTTATTGTGTTTCAACATAAGTAAAGGTGAATTTCAATGGGAAGTCAGTAGATTTTGTTTTGTTTCACACTGGTTAATTTGCAGCAGAATTTTTCCCAATAACTTTTAGAAAAACTGTCTTTTTGAAAAATATTACTATCTAAATCCAAGTATTCTGTAAATTATGGGACAATGTCATCTTTATTTGTCATCATATTCTTCTTATGTGGTAAAGATGTTCACTAGAACATGTTCATAGAATCATAGAACAGTTTGGATCAGAAGGGATCTTCAAAGATCATCTAGTCCAGCTGCCCTGACAAGGACAGGGACGTATTTCACTAGATAAGGTTGCTCAGAGCCTTGTCCAACCTGACCTTGAATGTTTCCAGGGATGGGGCATCTACCACCTCTCTGGGCAACCTGTTCCAGATCTTACCACCCTTAACACAAAAAATGTCTCTCTTATATCCAATCTAAGACTACCCTCTTTCAGCTTAAAAACATTGCCCCTTGTCCTGTCACTACATGCCTTGGTAAAAAGTCTCTCTCCATCTTTCTTAGAAGCTTCTTATACCTTGAGAGGCTCCAATACGATCTCCCTGGAGCCTTCTCTTCTCCAGGCTGAAAACCCCCTACTTTCTCGGTCTTCATAGGAGAGGTGTAGCCCTCCTCTAGACCCACTGCAACAGGTCCATGACTGACTTGTGCTGGGGACCCCAGAACTGGATGCAGTAGCCCAGGTGGGGTTTCCTGAGAGTAGAGGGTGAGAATCAACTCCCTCAATCTGCTGGTCACAATTCTTTTTATGTAGCCCAGGGTAGGATTGGCTTTCCAGGCCGCAAGAGCACATTGCCAGCTTGTGTTCCATTTTTCATCCACCAGTATCCCTAAGTCCTTCCATGCAGGACTGCTTCTCATCATTTCATTACCGGGTCTGTACTGATTTGGGGAATTGCCCTGACAATGGTGTAGTACTTTGCACTTGGCCTTATTGAACTT